GTATTCACATGTTGTAAAAAGACTAGACACATGAACGCTACAATTGGTTTTTCTTTTTGTTCTTCTAAATATTAATTTCTTTGTTATATTTGGTCTGAGGTGCTGCAGTGGAACTAAAGGGCCACATGTGGCCCGAGAACCACATGTTGCAGACCCCTGGTTTAGATGATAAAGTTTGTGTTTGGAGGTTAAGAGGGGAATGCACAGTTTGTCCATCATGTTTCTGTTAAAATTCTTTGCTAATTTTAATCATATCATTTGTTTTTTGACAGCCTTGCAGTGGCAGAAATATCCTGCTCATGAAGGACAGATTAATAAATCAACTGAATTAAAAGCTACAAATGAACATCACTTTGCAGTCCAACGCATCTGGAGTGAAAATCAGTGCAGGTGAAGAGAGAATATTGTGCAAAATATGTGAAATAATTTCTAAATCGAAAACAACTGAATCATCGATTCAGTTTAATCTTTAGAGAGATGTTCGCCTGAAAGATCCGTGTAAAGTAAGAGCACAGACATTGTCCAGATGTTTCTACTGAATTTGCATCATGACTCATACGTGTTTTAGAGCTAAAAATATAAATAAATCCAAGTCATGCTGCACTTTAGTCTTTTCTTAAAAGCCACTGTTGGTATGAACATCATAACTTCACCGTAAAATAGAAATGAAAGTGGTTGGATCATGATTTATGATTTTAACTTTTATTTGTGGACAAAAAGACAACAGACAGTGAGTATACTGATGTTATATATATTTTTTTGAAACCTCTAAAACAGCAGCAGGTTGAGTTCTGTGAACGGCTTCAGTTTCTGATGGACTGGGGGCTCAAAAGATAAAGAAACCCCCTCAGAAATAATCAACCCTCAGTGGAGCCGTTTGCCCTCTGTAGTGCAGAGGTACTGGGGGCAGAAGTCCTCTTCAGCCTCAGAGGACATTCTTATTATCACCTCCAGGCAGCATCCATCTCTCTCGTTAGGTAGCTGGAAAGAAAAAAAAAAAAAACTGGCTGGGCTCACTCTTTTTCTCCATCCTCCCTCATTTTTGCCTTCACTCCATCATTTTCCTCCCTGCTCTTGTCTTCACGCCTTCTCTTTAATTCCCTCCCCTCTTTTGTAATAAATGCCATTATGGAGAGGATGCATCTGATGTTAGACAGGAAGCCATCCTTTACCACCTTCTAAAAGAATTACAGTGACGCTCAGCTGACTCTATAAGCCATAAAGCATCTCCTTGGCTGACATCATAAAACACCAAGCCTTTTTTTTATTTTTTGAAGGAGTTACTGTGAACACCTCATAAACAAGTTTCAGAGCCTCTCCTTATATCAAAGGTATTGTAACCCCGGCACCTTCAATGAGCCACGAGCATGCGCCGTATTAAGCGCAGGCACGTTGGGTAAAGGGCGGCTGAGTGATTAAAGCAGCAGCGTGAGGCCTTGAGGGGAGCGTTAACGATGCAGCATCTACCTTTGCTCATGCCTCATTGGCTCGGGCTTCTGCTGAGTAACTGGCAAGACTTAATTGAAGGGTACACTTCGTTAACAGCGTTGCCAGGTGACCACGGAGGCCTAATTGAAGGCCAACGCTTCAATGGATCTGTGCCGTTCCATCAATCAGGTGTATTAGCAGGAGCCTGGCTTTTAGTCTCTGTTGGCAGAGGAATGTGCTGACTGTAAGATGGGGGCGAGGAAGAAAAGAGGCATGAAGGTGGGGAGGGAGGACTTACAGAAGGAAATGAGGAGCAGAAAGAGAGTCCAGGGGAGAAAAGAAAAGTCCTTGGAGATCTGATTATCAGCAAACATCAGCAGAATTTCAGCACAAAAATGAAAGGCCTAATCTGCTTTTTTGGATAGAACTGCTGCTGAGCAAGAAAAAAAGATTAGAAACTGGACGAAATTACATGAACTCTCATGTTCTCCTTTTGTAGAACAGGTTCCGGTTTCATTCGTTTGCTTTTAATGAACCAAAATTCAAAAGAAATAACAGATTTTCTTTTTTTAATATATATTTTGTTTTAATCGCCTTTCAGTTTCTCATTGTTTCAGTGACCATTTTTATTTCCTTTATTGAAAGAGTATAAATAAATACATCTACAAGTGTAATTACAGTGGATTCACATGATGGTGTGAAAAACAAGTGAACTGTATTCACAGGCAGGTATTAAAAGGACTCTTATGCAAATGAGATAATAAATGTGAAAATAAAAGCTTTACTTATTACCTTGGTGGAAACTGTTGAGGGAGCTAATTTGGCGCCACCATCCACCCAGTATCTGGGTCAGGGACAATTAAACTAATGAGTTGATGTGTTCCATTTGCAGGGAAAGCTTGTGCAAAGGTGCGCAGCCTTGACCCGTTCACTCTGTCACCATGAAACACGCAGGATTTTCTCTGTTTGCTGTGACAGCAAAGAAACGCCACCTCTGCCGAGTCTGTCACAGCGCTTCAATATTCAAGCTGAAAGAATAGAAAGTCATCCCTGCGACGTTAAGTGCACGTGTGAGTGGTTCTGAAAAGGTCAGCAGAGGTGTGGGGTTGATGAAAGCTCTGTCAGACGGTGCAACAGAGAAGTGGGCTTGATGAAGACGAGCTGCAGGCTGTGAGAAGTCTGAGTTTAGGACACCTGCGCTGCTTTCCAAAGACCTGCTTCTCTCGTGAAGAAATCCAAAGTACAGAGGAGACCACATCAGAAACGCAGAACGTGGAAGAAACATTTAGCACATGGACAATCTGGATGTAGGGTGGCGTGCATGCAGCCGTAAAGATGTGATCTGAAATTGTCTGGCTCAAAAAGAAAATTGTACTGCTGACGGCTGAGAGATTTTGAGAAGTCCTTCTTCAAGCAAGAAATCAGAGAAGTTATTAGTGATTTAAAACCCCTGGCAGAGACTCGACATTTTCACAGCCAAGCCTGAGCGTGTTGGTGAGGAGACCGCTCTGTCACCCTGGAGGAGGGAAGCCTCTTTGGGATCCAGAGTTGTTCTTGTGAGGACGCAGAGATCGAGGACCGGGAGCAGAGTTGCTGTTCGGTGCCATGAGACACTGAGGTCGTCCCATCAGGCCAGAGCAGCAATTTCCTGCATCCCCTGTCGAGTCCAACACCCGGGCGGCGTGTGACTGTGGCCCAAGGGTCACAACACAATTGGAATACAAAAAAACAGTTCAGAAAACAACACAAAATACACAAAACTAGAACTTATTAATCATAATTGTTTGGATGGAGGTGTTTCACTTTGCTCAGTTTTTGAGGAAATGAGCCCAGATTTCAAAATTGCTCCCTAGAAGAAATAAAAGAAAATGTAAATATAAAAAAAAGTTTATTTTTCATTATTTTGCATGAGCCTCTTGAGGGAAATCATCTTAAAAAAAATGACAGATTTTTTTTTTTTTTTTGGTACCAATTGAAAAAATACATTACTGGCCTATCATTCTGCAGGAATGCATTTCCTCCAATAGTTCTGATTCAAAATGGCCGTCACAGTCACTTCCCAGAAAAAGTGTTCAGTGTTGACTCTCAGCTACTACCACTCTTAACTTTACCTCAACATAGGGAATTTTGAGCAACGATTTTGTGTTGGGAAAGGTAGATTAGCTGTGGCAGCCATCTTGATTTGAGTTGACTCCTAGTTGTAGATGTGCATCTGAAAGTTTCACTAAAATCCATCCAGTGTTTCATGAGATATTTTACTAACAGACAGAGTTAACTTCAGCAGTTAATGCCAAAGATTTTACAACAAGCTGAGTTATTGCTCACTGTCTGTGTTGATCAGTCTCAGCTGCTAATACACCAAATGTGAGGTAAACTTTTGTCAAACTGATTGAGTCATTGGCATTTCAGTTTAAATATTGAAATTGTATTTATTTTATATGGCATAAAAAATATGTTATATTTTTTGTATTATTAGCTGAGTTCATATTTTAGATACTTGATTAAATCAAATAAATTGTGAACAGTCATCACATCTTTTAGTCATAACCAAATAGCCCACTAAATATATCAAATAATGAACTTAAGACTCTGAAACATAACAAATCGTGATATCTTACAACTTTTTTTTCATGAGCTACAAATCGAATGCTTTCTATTTCTAGCCACAGTGTTCCTTGGAATATGTCAGGGTTGATGGATATCTCTCAAAGTAAACAGGCCTGTGAAAATGTTGCCTCGCTGTTGAGGTACACTTCTGTATTCAAGCCATGGCAGTGGGGAAAAGAAAAAAGACTGTATTAGCAGATCTGTCATGTACCGAGTGGTGGGATATATTACAGCTAGAAGCAGTTTTAAAACAAGTTGGGTTCCTGCCAGGAAGGTCTCAGAGCAATATCTTCAGCCATATGGATTGGAAAATACATTCAGCCTTCGCTGGCAGCAAAGTCTCTGACATATTTATTATTGTATAGTTAGAACCTGCTGGGAAATCATGTTCACAACTTCTGTGGAGCTTCAATAAAACTACAATACAAATAGCAACTGTTGTAAGGTCCACAAACTGGGTTTGTACTCCGGTTCCTTTCATCACACACAACAGACCAGGTCATTATATTTATTCCCAGAAAGTAGGATGCATAAAGTGGCAGAGATATCAGATCAGATTTATTAACTGGGGCAGTGTGTCATATAATGTATTTTTCAAAAACTATTCCATTTATGTAACGTAAAGTCTTCTCTTAACTGTAATCTGTCATCCACCTCTAGTCCAATGCAAAATAAATTGCTTTAAGGAGTTTAGAGGTGAAACACTGCCACCGTGTGGACAAATGTGAAAACTGCCGAAAGAACATGTCTTCAAATCACACAAATGACTGTCACAGATACATTTAACATCTTACATGTACGGTTATATAAATAATTAAATTAAAATGTCACATAATCATTTAAAATATTAACAATTAATTATTCGAAACATGGCGCTCCAAAAACAAACAAATAATTAATTATTTTTTAAAAGGGCGGTTCGCGGAACTTTTTACAGACACCGGACATGTTTTTCGGTTACACCGGAACTGTTTTTTTTTTTCTTGTCGGAATTAGGGTGGACTAGTTAAGGTCATGTTTAAGAATGTTTTGAGCAGATTGGCGACAGAAACGGTTCGTGTTCACCGTCATGTGAGACACACGGAGTTTGTAAAGACTTTGACACCGCTGAGGAGCTTCACGGAGGCGAAGGACGAAGCGCATCCGCCTTTTGATTCCTCCCTGCTGGACTTCCTGGTGTGCCCGCTGTCCAAGAAGCCACTCAGGTCAAACAATAGTTGTGCTTAAGAGCTGTTTTTAAAAGCTAAAATATCCCAACTGAAAACACGATAGTTTAAATTAACTTTAATGTTTCTGCTTCAGTAGTTTTAATCAGGAAACTTTGAGTTGAAAATTATTAATTCAGTTTAATAGAAAACCGATGAAGGGACGTTACCACTCGGGAGGTCTCGCGAGATGTGCAAGCGCTCAAAGTTTGTCACGTGAATGACTATCAGCTACTTCCACACTAAATTTACCCAAATTTCTGCAAAATTAACTAAGTCAAAACCATTTTCTGTTTAAAAAATATTAATTAGCTATAGTTGGGATGACTACAAACATTATTAAGATATTGATGTACATTCAATGATCCATTGACATACTGAGTGTGTCTTTAGTCTGTCCATTGTTTTATGAGATATTTTCCTAACAGGGTTGACACCAACTATTGCCACTGTTTTATGTTTTTATTGCAATGTGTAGTGCTCAAAGTATGTGTTTGGGTTAATGCTCAGCAAATGCCACACCATATTTTTGCTCAGCATCTGTACATTGGGTTAAGTTCAAATAATTTTTGTTTTTAAGATCACTTGGCTGGGGTGGCTGTCTGGAATGAGACTGACTCCAAAAGTTAATCATTTATAGTTGTCAATAACTTCACAATGCATGTCAGGTTAAAACATATGAAAAGTATTGAGATGGTATTTTTTACAAGTTTTATAAACAAAACAAGACTCACTAATCAATATTTGTGTTCTACTGTAATTCTTTAAATTGTTGCTCTATTTGCTGTACAACAATTAAAAGTACAGATTAAACCAATTCAGCACTTTACTAATTGATTTGTCTATGCGATGAAACCGTGGTTTACATAAAAATTAGTTTTCACACAGATATTTACTATTTTGACATTGTCGTGTGTGGATTTAAAGCTTTTCTTTTACGTAGCAAAAATGTTTAAAGTTCTTAATAACAGTTTAGAAAAAAACATGACAACTGATGGTTTACAGGAAATTTACTAGACTTTTCCTCCATTATCTGTTTTTTTAAGTACATAAGTGTTTAGCAAGTTAATTAGTATTAACTGATTCACCGTTTCAAATTGTAGCTGGATATATAAAAACTTTAGAATAGCAATATTGTTTAATTGATCAGTAAATTGCAAAGAATAATTGAAATATGATGTAGCCAGTGTCATGTACAGAAGGATACGCGTTGATTACGGAGTAGCAGCTGATACATTCATGATGTGAAGGAAAATATTAGATTAGAGCTTTTAGTTGCTACATCATCAAACTGTAAAATATGTATTCCAGCTCAAAGATTATATGTTTCATCTTTTCCTCAGGTATGATGCTAACACCAATGAGCTGATCAACGAGGAGCTCGGCATCGCTTATCCCATCGTTGATGGCATTCCTAACATGATCCCCCAGGACGCCAGACTCATAAAGAAGGACGCAGACGCTCCAAACACACCTGCGCAGTAACAGGAACTCCAAAACTTTCTGCCGCAAGAAAACAAGACTGAACACTTAAAAGTTAAGAAGCTAAGCTGAGTCTCAATTATATCAGCAAAAAGTTATTTTAGAGCAAATCTGTCGGAATGTTGTCCCTGGCCATGATGGTGGGACTGGTCCCCATTGTGTCTCTCATTGGTTTGATCTACTCAGCCACCGTGGATGAAAACTTCCCTCAGGGCTGCACGAGCAGCAGCAGTGTGTGTTTCTACAGCCTGCTGCTGCCGCTCACCCTCCCCGTCTACGTCTTCTTCCATCTCTGGAGCTGGATGGGGATCAAACTCTTCAGACACAACTAGGCGTTTCGCTCTAACAGTAATAACGTTTTCTAATGCAGTTTGCGTTTTTTGATCCTTAATTACGTATTTATAGACAGTTTAAGACCCAAAGACGATGTTAAATTAAAAACGTGACCCTTATTTTCTTAAAACACGTTGAATTTTCTCACTCTGTCAGGATCGTTTGGCTGTTTATAACTGCAGGTTACAAGTTTTCCATAGCAATTGTAAATCTGCGTCACAATTTCAATGTTTTAGCAGCTACAAAACAGACTTCTGTTGTAAAATGAATAACTGTATGTAGAAATTTACAGCTGTGCTTCTTTGGAAAATAAACATCAATATTGAACATCTCTTGAGGAATTTCTCACTGTTGTCGTGAATTGTAAACAAACTGAACCTCCATTTCATGTTCAAAATGTACTTTTAATCCACAAAAGACAAATTTTATACAGATCAACGATATAAACTGCAATCTGTTAATATGAAATAAAAAAATATTTTAATAGATGAACTCTGATAAACATTTATATACGTCAAAGGTCATGAAAACAACAGTTTAATCTTAAAATCTTTTCCGTGCATGCAACAAGGGACTACTGGGCTCCATCTTCTAAAATGTTTACAACCTTAACTCGTGTAGACAATCGGCTCTAACACAAACTACAAGAACATTGAACATGTTCCAGATGTGTTAAAAAACATCTGGCCAATTAAGTGAGACGGCTATCATTTACTCACATTCTTGCCTGCACTCCTCAGTGGCGCTTTTTACGTTTTATGTCTCTGCCTTGAGAAAGTTTCATCAGCGGAGACTCCGGTCGAGGTGAGAGTCTGTCGTCTCCTTTCGTCTTGAAAAAGAAAGGCTTGTTGAGCCTCAGCTGGACCGCTCTCACCTAAAACCCAAACAAATGACATTTGTTCTCCATCAGTGACTACGTACTCTCAGGGAATTCTGATGATGAATGTACGGTACAGTGAGGTACTAAATTATTCATCCTTCTTAGTAAACCTAAAATTTAAATAGATTTTTATTTTGTTTATAAGCATTTGACAAAAAAAACCCACTAGATTATTCATGTTAAATGGGATAAAAACAGTTTGAAATAAATATAAAACGTAACGATGGTACATTGATATGTATTCAACCTCTAAAACCACTTTGTAGCAGCATCAAGTCTCTTCGGGTTCGTCTCCAGGAGCTAACCACTGTAGAGGTAGCTTGTTCTTCATGACCAAACTGCAGTTCCTTCAGGTGGCATGGCTGCTGAGTGTGTCCAACAATTTTTAAACCACAGATTCTTAGTTGGACTGGGTCAGGATATTCACCTGGTTCTCCCTAAACAGTTCATTTGTGTGTTTAGGGTCATTGTTCTGCTGGAAGGAGGATCTCCATCCCAGTCTAATATCTTCATTATATCCCTAAATTTATCTCTTATCTTTCCTTTAACGCTGACCAGTTTCCCAGTCCATGCTGATAGGCAGCATCCCCACAGCATGGTGCTGCCACCACCATGCTTCAATGTGGGAATGGTGTGATTTGCCTCAGATTTGGTGTTGTCTTTGATGCTTGGTCTCATCTGACCACAGCACCTTCTTCTGCATGTTTGAGCGGTCCAATTTTTATTTAATCTATCTTTTTCCTGCCGTTCCTCCATCCAGCTCTTTGCAGCTTCTAGTGGTCCAGTGGAGATCCTCCTGGCTCTGCAGAAGGGCTACAGCTCCATCAGGGTTATCTCTGAATATTTCTTTTAGAAGGTTGGCATCGTCGTTTTATTTTCTAATAATGGACTTAATGGAGGAGCTCTGTGGGATGTTCAGGGTTCTGGGATATTTTTCGTAACCCAACTTTGATCTGTTCTTCTCCACAGCTTTGACTCTGACTTGTTTGAATAAGTCCCTGGTCTTGATGCTGTCTCTTGCTTAGCGTAAGCCCTTATAACTTCAAATTGTTGCACTGGTGTTGATTCTGGGAACTGTTACAACAAGTGTATATCATTTGACAGGTTTTGATTATTTGCTCACATGTGTGGTTTATTATTTTTATTATTATGGATCTTCTGAAGATAAAGAAAGTGTTTTACCCTTTTAAATGTAATTAAATCTGGAGTATTTAGAGGCATAGTTGCTTTAAATCAAACAGAACATTTCAGATGTAAGGCTATAAATCGAAACGTTATCAAGAGGGATGAAGACTTTTACAAGCCCATGTAGAATGCCTTTACTGTTTTATTAATTTTAAAAGAAACATTAGTAGTAACATAATAGTTTTAATAATATTAGTTTTTTTATTATTAACCAAGACTGAGCCAAACAACCCTAAGGATGGCTTTCATGTTACATTTCCAGCACTTCATTTACAGACTTTTAGTATAACAGTGGCAAACATACATTTGCAATTATGCACACATACATACATACACACACACGGGAAACTGATTAAACTAAGTATTTTTATTGGATTTGCTGACGCTAATATATATGCATTTCATCATGTATATTTGCTACTTTAAGCATAATTTTCATAAAACTTTATGTTTATAAGGAGCTCGGATAACGATATTCATCTAAACTAATGATAAATTGTGTTTTAAAGGCTTTAAATTTGTTTTATAGATTGTTTTACAATGCAGTAAGAATGGCAGGTCTACAAAAGAAAACGGTAAAACAAAGTTTTATGGTGATCAAGTGCAGTATGAAGTATACAAAGATGTTCTAGAGCACGTGTCAAAGTCAAGGCCCATGGGCCAAATCTGGCCCTCGTTAACATCATATCTGACCCTCTAGATACTTTAAATGTAAAATATTATTTATCGTTTCTCACTTAGCTTACAAAACTACTAAATACTTCATTTAGTGCAGACCTCTCAGGACAGTTTAACTTTGAAGCCAGAAAAAAGGTGGGATTTTTTAAGGATGCACAAAATTATTGTCATGGTATCAGTATTAGCCGATATTAGCGATAAAGTTAAATATCAGACATGGACCATTCCATCAAAATAACTTACCAATATAAAAGGTGCTGTTTATATATATATATATATATATATATATATATATATGTCATTGTGTTAGAGAGAGTAAATGTCATGAATAAATTTGACATTAAACATAATCCAAATTGAAGTATTATGTCATTTCCAGCCCATTTTTTGTCATCTGCATTTGGTAGCAGGCCAAATTGACATAGACCATGCAGGATAATGTAATATTTTAATTCCACAGCAGAGAAAGATGTGTAGCCTCTGTAGGTAGGTCTAGGGGGGAAATATCGGTATTGGTATCAGTTATTAGTCATATAAGTTTTTTTAACATATCGGATATCGGTCAAAGATCCAATATCATGCATTCCTAAGATTGTTCAGTAATCTTTCATTTTAATGTGGAAAGAGCAACAGAGAACATCAAATGGGACCAATCAAACTCTTGTTGATGAACCTGCAATCAAGAGAACACACCGGCTATCTGACTGGAGTTAATGCATTGACAGGTTGGCCCTTGGCTTGGACCAAGTTTTTAATTTTGGCTCCCTTTTGTAACTGAGTTAGACTGCCCTGTTCTAGAGGCAGGATGATGATGATATATTTGATATAACTGCTAAAAGTGGGTTTGTGTTTTACCTTGAGCAGATCTCGCATGCTGGAGCGGCAGAAGTGGTCGTCCTCGCTGGAGGTTGTCATGTCGGCAGACTTGAAATCAGCTTCAGACTGAGGGCTGGGAGTCGATTCGACGCAACAAAGAGCCATCTTTTCTTCCACACGTTTCGCTTGCAGAGAAGCGGACATACTTTCACCTCCATCACTGTTCATTTCTCCTTGTGGCAACGTTTGATCCGGGTCAGGTTCATTGCCAGTTACAGACATCTTCGCTGACAAACTGAAATCTTTTCTCGCCCTCTGCGGCAGGCTCAGATCCAGGGCTTTCAGGTCCTCAACGTGCACGGACGCTCTGCGCTTCTGACAGAAGTCGAGGTAGAAGGAGAGCTCGGTGGTGAAGAAGTTTTCTGTCTGCGTCGAAATATTGGCTGTACGTGGAAGAAGCAGAGGCGTCTCGTTGACGCGTTGAAGGCACGAAGCAGCATCTGGGGTGGGGTTTATAACAAATGGTTCATCCAAGAAAGCGTTAACCACTTTGGGCCTGACTTGCACTGACTTTTTGTCCTGTTTGTGTAAATTTGCTTTGAACACCTGTGTCTGAAAGGACATTTTTTCCCACTGACGTAGCTCAAAACTTTCTTCCTTCTCCTCGTTTTCCCGTCCTTTCCGTTCTTGTGCAGGCTGATGGGAGTCTCGCGGACATTGGTGTGCTTTTGTTTGACACAGCTTCATCTCCTGGCTCTCGTCTCGCTGCCTGAATGGTGGAGACGAAGCTCTGTCGCTGATCTCGCTGCTGGAGGGTGATTCTCTGAATATCTTCTGGGTGATGAACAGATCCTGACTGTTTATGTCATCGCTGGCGCACTGACAATCATCCTGTGGTTGATTCTGAGTTTGTCCCGTCAACATGACCTGTGAACAGCTCTCACCTTCTCTGACAACTTCTGCTTCTTTGGGTGATGACGAGGCAAATTGTGGACGTTTCACGCGTATGAAGGAAGGTAATAAATCAAACGCCACGTGCTTTTTCCTCTTTGCTTCCTTCACAGAGTCGTTGGAGAGATGATCCTGGTTTAGCTTCTCGTGTTGCTTTTGATTTAACGCTCCAAACTTTTGCAGGAATGTTGCTTGTGCACTGCCGCCCTGTGTACAATTAAGGTCATTTAATTCCACAGCCGGTTTGTTTTTCTTTTTCACTTTCTTCTTTTCTTTTTTTTTCTTCTTCTTTTCTTTCTTTCTTTCTTCTTTCTTCCATTCCAGCATAGCTTCTTTACATTTTGAGTTTTTCTTTACCTTCTGGGTGCTTGCCTGTGTTTTCTGGGGGCTGCAGGTTTTACGTTTTTGATCGTTTTTCTTGGAAACACTTTTTCTTTTTGGAGAAAGAGTCCAGGACTCCACGTAGAAATCTGCTTCCTCGAAGTCGCTCATGAGCAAAATCTAAACAAACAAACAAATGATGTAAAAAAAAAAAAAAAAAAGAACTGAAAAAAGGATCTCAAGAGGTGTATGTTGATCTTTTAGACACAATATGTTTTTAAAAAATCCCTAATAATTTACATATTTCAGCAAATAATCTATTTTGTAACGGGGTTCAGTTGGTTTCCTCTCAGCGAGAAGGTTGCTGGATCGAATCTTGGCTGGGGGGTCTTTCTGGGAGAATT